TATTCGCATGATATAACTAAAAAGTCTATTTCCATTCTCCTTGTTAATTACCTCTTTAAAATCAAATAAAATCATATATATAGTTCATGTTGACCATTCTTTTTGAACAGACACAGTTCTCAGATAGCAGGCAAATTATTTTGCAAATCTAACCTAATATCTCAATTGTATTAGGAAGCCTATTCGAGATTTCATAATAATTATACTGTTTCGTATAGCATTACATATAAATGTATATTGCAATTGCAATATCTGCAATCTCATGATCGTCGTACTAACGTCGACAGAAATCAAATTTCGTTATTCATCGGAAAATCATTTAATCGAAATCAAACGGGGCGGAAATGAAAAGTCGGAAGCGCGATACGTAAGAAAGAAATAAAACAAACCTTGCTTAATGACGATGCCGGTGGTGGGCACTTGGACAATCGGCAGCGGAGGAGGCGCGTTCGGATTATTAACGCCTCCAGTGGAGGCGGAGGCTGCGACGGTGACGGCGGCGGCGGCGGCGGCGGCGGCGACGGCAGCGACGGTTGCGGCGGCAACGGGGGGTACGGCGCCACCGGGTGTACCGGGGGGCGGTGAGGCACTGGCGCTACCCACGGAACCGGGGTCGCTGAAGCCCTGGGTGCTGTTGTTCTCCTCCGGGCCGTCGAAGAAGCTCAGGTTGAACTCACTGCCGGCGTCGAATGACACTTCCGGCGTGAGGGTGTCCGGCGCCGGCGCGCTGCCCAAACCCGCGCTCAGCGACTGATCGAGTTTGAAAACGTCCATTGTACGGGCATCGAACGTACGTACGAGCGATCACGGCGTCGGCGACGCCGGCGGCGAACAGCGTGGTGCACGTCGCGCTTCCTGGCCGATGCTACCGTCTGCGGCATTCAGTATTCGCGCGCGCCTTCTCGATCCTTGTCTCGACCTCTCGAAGAGTCGGTCCTGCGCGAGCCGGCCGCGATAAGTCTCGACTCGATCCACAATCAGGCACTTTCGCAGGCAGCTTTCGCGCAGAGAACGAGAGAAACTCTCTCCGTAACTCTCCTCTCTGCGAATCTTTGAAAATCGCGACTTCCCGAGAACTGAACGACGTTGAAGTTTTAGTCACGGTTATCCTATAAATCCACCGATCCGCAGTGACAGAAAATTCGAACAAAAATTTCGTCACTTTCCTTGAATCTTCAAACATCCATTACGTATCCAGCTTCTCGATAACAGAGTTATGTATCGGTCGAACTTTCCTGATGATAATAAAGTGGCTATCGCTTAATAAGTGGTATCGTTTAATTATTCGAGGCTTGATACTTCGCTCGATATACTGCGAAACTTGTTCTAACTTCGTTCGGTTAAACTTTCCCCTTCGTTACTTGTACACAAACCGGTGGTACGCTATTTTAGTCGGTAGATAACATCTTTTATATATCGTATATAAGGCGTTCCTATTGAAGAGCGATGCCTCCGTTGACGCGTCGCGTAAGTTAAACCGGCATAACTCGCAGGACACGTCGAGCGTCATTAGTGAAACGGTTTTATCGCGAAAGGATATCCTGTATCTCGATAATTTATCCAGCATTTCATCAGGCGTCTTCTGAGAAACGATATCTTCTTTTTTTTTTCTTTTTTTCTTCTTTTAACAAACCGTTTTATTGTCGATGATCGATTTTGGCGAGCATAACGAACATGTCTTCCCGCTCGAGTTTGCAGTTGTTGTTGTCGTCGTCGTCGCCGCTCGTCTTTCTCGTAACTTCGCGGGGTCCTTGAACCACGAGTAACGTTTCCTCGTTTCCTCGCAGGTATTACGCCTCTCTCCGTCTATCTCGCGGCCACTCTACCCCGGCTTCTCGTTTCTTGTATTTGCATTTACACCGCTGCTTAATAAGATTTAATTCGACCACGGCCGTAATGGCCGCGCGACGAATGCGATGCGACGAGCGCGATAAAAGTTGCGAGTGGAAGATTACGCTCCCGAGATTTCCTCCGCGAATGTATAAATAACGGACGGGATGTGCGGACGATGAAGATCGACGAGACACTCGATACAAATCGAACGGACAGAGTAATGCGGGCGCGGTCGGTTTTGATGAGGGATGACCTTTTAAAAGGACAACACTGCCGCGTTTACGGAAGTTCGATTATCTTTATCGTTGTTGTTGCTGGATTTCGCACTTTGTCACTTAACACCGATTTCTTCGTCTTCTTTGTGTAATCAACGTATAATTTCCGACTACCATTCGTTAAGAACGTAGTCGACGTGAAAGTTGAAGCTCATCGTCTCGCTGTGCTTCCATTTTAGCTTCTTCTTGCGAATGGAGAACGCCACTCGAAAGTTCAACCCATTATTTTTGGGATACGCGATCGACCGAGCGCCTTTACTCGTAATACGACGTCCTTATCGCTCTTGTGGCTACTTTATTCTCTTTCTTTCTCTCTTCTCTTGTTTCTTTCTTCTTTCTCTCACTTTTCTTACAGGGCGAATTTTTTCCTAGTAGCGCGAGCGCGGATTTGCCCGCCAATTTTTAATGGTTTACACGTCCATTGGCTTTTCACGTGAGCCATCTCGCTGAAAGATAATCAAAACAAAAAGAAAATCAGAAACCAAAGGCAAAACAACGATATACACGACGCGGAAAGGAAAAGAAAATACAATTGCAAAATAATAAAGGCACATACATAAATGCAGACGCACGCAAGTACGATTTATAATTGATAGATTTGTGAAAATTACGCGGGCGTTATGAATTATTGAGAAATATTGAAACATGAAAGTTCATTTTTCATTTCAATTTGCTACATAAGATAAAATTTTTCATCTCTGAATAAATATTTAGTTAATTGATCCACTTAATTAATCATTTGTTGTAGAAGATACACAATCGAATTTTCGTAGTTAAATATGCGAAAATTCAAGAAGTTAAGAATAGAAAATTCAATAGAATTTAAATTTAAATTAACTTAAGAATGCGGAAATTTCATTTCTAAAATTATATGTTCCTCTAAGGAAGCAGTCCTTTCAAATGAATACACTTCAAGTTAATACACTTGAAATGATAAAAATAAAAATGAAAAAGTTGAGACAATTGTTCAATTCACACAGATGAAAATTTCCCAAATTTCACACGAGAAAGTTAAATATTTTATTACTTATCATATAAACAGTTATCTAGCAGTTTCTTGCCAATTTTAGTCTATGCATAAAAATATTAAGAGAAATTAATAAAAAGAAAGTGAATATTTTATGAGATTTTATGAGACAAAAATATGATAGAAAAGCATCTTTATGTTAAAATATGTCAGGATAAAATATGAAGTATTTTATAAAATATTCATTTTTTGACTATTTCAGCTTAACATTTTTATATGTAAGACGATGACGAGGAAATTGATTTCTAAGAAAGTACGTAAAGTTTATTTCGAAAAAAAATTGGGAGTTGCCATTCAGCTTTCAGTTACATAGCTCCTTTTGTTCCAAGAAATCTCAACAAATAATAGCAAAAATGTTGTCCCTAACCATCCCTAATAGTTTCCAAGAAAATAATTTATAATAATGTAATATTAATTAACAGTAATTAATTCTTATATTTTTTATTTTCGATACGATATTAGAAAAGGAAATTTAGTTAACATTCAAATTTAAAAAGTCATGTAAAAAAATATTTATTATTGTATAATATCATGCGGTGATCAATCAATAAAATTATGCGTCTTTTACGTAAAGTTTTGTACTAATTTTTGCGTAAGAAAGATAACGAGTTTCAAAACTTTCCACTACGCCCAATTGTACCGAAAAACTTTAAGTAACTTCCCAAGTTACTCCACCCTATGTATTCCAGTATTTTCGCACGATCGAGAGAGATGAGGACAGGGAATCGCCGGTGAATCGTGGGAGAAACAAGGAGAGGAGAGAAAAAAAACTCGGAGAGCACGAGAGAAACACGAGGCAGAGAGTGAGAAAAAGTGAATGTCATTGCCGTAATCTTCGGACGTTGACTTCTTCCTGGCTCGTCCCTCCTTCCTCTTCTTGGTCACAACCTTCCTCTCCCCTTCCTCCGTTAACATCCACTCCTCTTCGTCCTCGTCGTTCTCTTTGTCGTCTCTCTCTCTCTCTCTCTCTCTCTCTCTCTCTCTCTCTCATCTGCACGTTTTGCTTCTCCTCCACCTCTCGCTAACTCATCTTTTCTTCCCTCCCGCAACATTCATTCCTCCCTTCCATCCCCTTAGCCAGCTTTGTTTTTCCGCCTCGCGAAATTCAAGTGTTTTGTGACAATTCACGCGCAGCTAGATATTCATCAACACAGACCGCAACGATCGAAACACCAATCAATACGATGTAGATATGTAAGCGTTTTCAATTCGCAAAATCAAGAGGCTCGTCGTAAAGTTATTTATAATTATTTATTTGTTGTTTCAAACGCTGACTATCTATAATGAGAGAATTGATGAGAACTAAAATAATTTCGATGAAAACCTTTCCATGATAGCTTCCCAGCGAACTTATTATGTACTTGTGACACGCAAATTGCGAATTAGCGTGTTTCTAATAGCTATATCGTGTATGTTTTCAGGTAATTGTGAATTTCTTTTGGAATTAGTTTATTGTTGCTATATAATCAATCTCCTTTAATCATAAATGGTGTGAAGATTATTTCAATTGAAAAATCGATTTTTTGGTATTTTTGTAATGTGTTGCAAGAACTTTGCTATTGTTGAAAAAATTGTCAATATCCATGGCAGAACAGCCGAAAAAAATAAGCGTTTTTATCAAAAAGCTTTCGAAACGGTAATATAACTGTCCTCCGGTGTCGCGGCGATCAATTTGAGCCAATTTTTTACGAGGTCATGTTTTACATAAAATATTTGGATCTTCGACTTTCAGATTAAAATCTGAAAATTAAACATAAAATATAAAGCTGCTAAATAATTTCTTCTCCACGGTTGTTTTCTTGTCAAATAATTTTTTAATCTAGAAAAATATCAGAAACCGATGGTATACGAAACTCATAATTCTTATTTATTGTTTTTTCTTGTAACATATCAGATATATACGAAAATTTAAAAAAAAGTTCTGAAATATCTGAATAGAAGAAATTGATAGGCATTCAATTTCGTTTGAAGAAAAAAATTATTCAGATATTTCTATTATAAAAAAAAAATACTATTTGTTGACCAAAAATGCATTCCCGATTGAACGTCTCGTACAAAAGACACCGTTCTGTCATTGATAGTACAAAACTGTTTTTTCGTAAAGACTTACGTGCGTGAGTCGCAGTGAGAAAAAAATTGATTCAAGTCGAGTTGGGAAGAAGTAATTTTGTCCTCTTTAAATTGGGCGAATTTTGCCGGCGCGGCGACGAATTTCGTGGTCTCGCAGACGATCATTTGTCTCGCACATCGCCCGCTCGGTTCCGCGTTCCATCCGCGTCGCAAGTCAGTGCGTTCACCTTACGCTCGCGAGCGAAGATCTCGCGCGTGCGCGCGCGCGCACACGCGAGAGGATTTCTCTGGGAACGCGCGATCGCGCGCGAGCCACGTGCTCGACCGCTCGCGCGATCATCGAACGCCACCATCGAATCGATCCGCGGCGATCGACATCGCACGAAGACACGCTCCTCGCCGAGAAAACTCCGGCACTGTAGGCTTCTCCCGACGTCTCGCGACTCGTCTTTCGCGTGTATTCTAACACAGGCTTAGAACATTTCGAAAGCTAAAGCGATTCAGGAGTGATACGAGGAAGAATAACCCGTTAATCAACCCGTTGCTGTTTCTCCAGCAATCGCTGAAATATATATACAGTGAAAAGTAGACGTTACGAAAGATCGTGGACAGTCGATTTTCGCTACATCTACAAGTTCGTCTCACTTACTGCTTTAATAAATATCTTAACGCTTAGTTTTTTTTATCCTATGGCCATTCTCGTTCCAAAAGTTTCAAAAGTTATAATTACACTGTCTCGAATTTACTCCATGATTTACTTTGACGCCAACACTTTCTCTCATCTACGACTCGTCTAATCTGAAGCAATTGCGCAAAGGTTCGTGCTTACGAGATCTTCATTAAGAGACATATATATTTCATTCAACAGGTATTGGACAGCTGTGTGGAAATAATAATAATTTCATAATTTCCCGCAATCGACACCTCGAAACAACGCGGACTCGCTCCGCTTACTTGTCGCGCTTCCACGAGACAATGAGGTGTGAATGAAAGCGCAATGAACTTTTGCAATTTCCTTGGCAATTATCTCCCGCCGTGTACAGCTCGCATTGAATAAACGTGACACGCAAATTAACGCTGCACGTCCGTGAATTTAACCTGCACGCGAGCGATTCCTAAACACTCACCGGATATTTCGACTCTCTTTCGATAAGACTCGCCCACTGAGTATCGAAGTGATTTGGTCCAGCATATAATCCACGAGGAAAAGAAAGGCTCTCAACTGATTTCTTCTAGACACCCTTTCTCGGCACCAGTGGACAAGTTTACTCACATTCACGAGTTTCTCGTAAAATCTCACGCAGATTCTCGAAACGCCACTTCGGAATCCTAAGGCACGATCACACTGATCCGGAGTGCACAGTCACATTCCCGGTTATCGCGTTGAAATACAGTATATAAGACGTCGATAGTAGAAACCAATAGAGAGAGTTATCCTTTAAAATATCATTTCGTTCTAGAAAAGATATATGATATCTATACTATCTCTCACGAATCTACTCGATCTAGACGTCGCCTTTCGATAAACGATTCGCCATCGAATACCACTCACTGCCCCGACGAGATCGTCGCGATCGGCACGTATCGGTTCGGAGCCGAGACAGTCGAGAGTAATCTCTGCTCTCTCGTCCGCAGATATCATCGGAAGGAATCGTCCACGTGATGGCGCAATCAAGCGGAAGCGGGCAATTCCCGCGAGGGTGAGGAAAAGCCAGGGAGGAGCGCGTGGTGACACCCTATCGTGAATGGTGTACCGGTTGTACCAAGGGAGTTTAGGTGATTGTAAGTACCGATTGTTAAGGACGGAACGTTTATCGCGAGAGCGTGCGCGATCACGTGGATGCGCGCGATCCGCGAGCGTGCGGCGCGTCGAGCCCGCTCGTTCTCGCGCGAGTGCGGAGTGCCGGGAGTGGGCCCTCCGCCGCATGTTTCCCGTGCTCCGTCTTCCTCGATCGCACGAACGTGCCTCTCTCTTTCTCTCATTCGATCCCCCTACCTTACGTTCGCGCCGTCTTTCTCTCCCTCGCGCGCTCACTCGCGAGCTCCGCGCACTGCTCTCTCTCTCTCTCTCTCTCTCTCTCTCTCTCTCTCTCTCTTTTTTCCCGTCGAGATTTTGCCA